GACAATTAAGATCCATTGTTTTCTGTAGGGAACGGCAGGATTTATCAGCAAACTATTACTTCTAATGACTTGAAAACTTCTAATGACTTGTCGATCTCCTTCTTAATTCGCTCTGCACTACACTTGCTGTCATTTAAATAACTGTTTCCATGATGACAAAAGCCTGTAAAACTTGCCAATGTGACTTAAGTTGCTGTTAATGTTAGCGGAGTTCTTATAATTCTGCTTGCCAGTGTATTAGTGTTATTTCAGGAGATGGTCTTATGGGTCTTATGAGAGAGAAGGGACAAATGACATACAGTATATGGGTCATATAGGTTGGAGGACTTGTTTCCTACTGTTGCGGTTGAAAAAGTCATTACTTTTTCAATTAATAATATCTAATGAGTAATTGATAAACATTTCTAATAACTTGCCCGACACTGTTGATAGCGATGAACACGTTAAAGTTTTCATGAACTTGCCGTATCATAGGTTAGATAAAGTGTTTGAAATCAGAGACTATTGGAAACTGTGACATTGAGCCAGGTAACACAGTGTGGTTCACAATGACAAGGTTACATTTCAGTGCATAATCCATCATCCAGCACTGAAACCCTGACTCTTATATGTCTGTAGTCTGGACTAAATCTCTGAAACCTACTTCCCTCTGTGAGAACCAGTCTACTGACAGCTTGGAGGACTTCCCAGTTTGATAACACATGCCTGTCTGATTGGAGCCGGGCTGTCTCGCGGATGCTCAGAGGAACGTGCCTCTTCAATAGCAGATCAATCAGTCTATTAAGATAACCAGGGACATACTGTAGGTTCTTTGCCATGGTTTGAAAGTGTTCCGCAGTTTTAGTCATATCGAGTTTTTAGAGCTTGAACTGTAAACATTATGTGCATATAGTCATAGACAGCTTATTAAAATATTATAACCATCAAACATAAATACTGTAGGTCCAAATATTATCTACTGTATGTACATTTTTGCGTGAACGAGGTATCATCCAAAACAAAATGAAGTATTATCTAGGCTTTGGATTTTTAAGTGGTATATACATCCCTAATCGTGCAAAAATTCTTTGTGATACAGACAGATGGCATGTTTCTTATTATTTTGCATGTGAGTGATACATCTTGAGCCATGGCAGGTGGCTTGAATATTCATTTCATTTTGATAATTCCACAGATTACTGCAAGTGATCTTAAAGCTTCATCCGGCAAGCTTTATATGTAAAAATACCCAGGTCTTACCAGCCTAAACCACAAAGTGGGGTTAAGAGCAAAGAGGCGTGTCCCTGAAGAGTCACCCAGTTTGATAATAAAACAAACCATGGATCCAAACTGAAGGTTGCTGGGTGAAGGACACCTCAGAAGTACGTTTTCCTCTTCCCAGTGTTACAAGCAGAGGTCCATGCAATAAGCAGGCCAAGTAACAAGTCAGCTGACACCGCATCATCACATCAACTCCACAGATCTAGTTTCTCACCTCTCCCCACTGAGCTATATCCAGCAATTGTGCCCTTTTGTAAGCAACTTCTATAGAGGCTGCACAGAAAAGCCTCCAAGCCCAGAGGTCAGGGGCCAATGTGCTGATGGATTATGGGGTTTCACTGTGCCTGGTGTTGCTGACAGGCTTTATTGGTTGGGAGGATGAGCTTGTAACCCTTTATATAATTATTGAATTAAGGCCAGTGTGCCCCTGCCTTGCTGGCACTTGTCCCTGGATCAATGTGGAGATAATTTCAGAAATGAATAGTTAGTATCGATCAGCCCCCTTAGTGATGGCTTATCAGCCTCTCAGACAGGTCGCTGTAGATTATTGTGCCATTGTCATTTATGGCCACTGTCATAGAATTTGTATTTTTTTTGAAGCGGACCTGGTTCAAACAAAGACAATTCAATTTGCAATGGATTTTCTTTCTATCTGTTTTTTTCCACTGCTGCTTCACTGTGTGATACACAATAAGCAATAAATCACAATCATTTGTGTTTTTATCTCCTTCTTTCCTCTGTTGTTCATCTGACACTCTAGCGTTGGCCTGGCCTCTAAGGGCTCGGGGAAGAAGGAGGAAGAGGCGGACGAGTGTCAGCACTTGAACTCTGGCTGAGGGATTGAGTGAGCTTTGGTTTAGACAAACCAATGACCTTCAGGCCTGGTATTTGTAGGGGAGGAAAGTTAGTGTTTTTGTTATTTGGTGGTCTTAGTTTGGTCTTAATGAACAATCTGCAGTGGAGACACATGAACCTGACCTCTATATTATGAGCTCTTTCAATTTATTCAGCAATTTTTTGTTTAAAATTCTGATAAAATACTTATACCAAAACTAAAACATATGGCTGAAATTATGGCCAAGTCATGCAAATTACTGTGCCATTTAAAGTCACAGCTCTACCTACTACAGATGTGTTTGTATGTTTATTCATCTAGTAGCTCTTTATCTGAGCAGCGTGAGTCCCCCAGGTGTCATGTTTGTACTTTTCCCTCCTACCTTCTAAACTGTGAATGACAACATGTATCCATCAGAGGACTGGAGCTCGATTTCAATAGCAGCTCAGGGGGAATCATTCAGAGAAATGTAATTTACTCACTATTGGTCAGTTTGACCTCTGACCTCAATCACTTGACACGGTTACCATAGAAACCATTGAAAAAAAAACATGAAGGGAGTCAGATAGCATCATTTCAGCTGCTCATCCAGTACACACAGTGAAAGATAAAATGTCTGGCTGGCAGAACAAGGTAAAGAAATGGTAAAGAGAAGCAAATAAACCTGAATTAACTGGATTTACACCAAATCGAAGATGCGGGGGGTTCGTTAGACTGAGTGGTCTTGATCATTACATAATTATATCAACACTGTTATTTGTCATAATGCCAGACCCAGTCATTTTTTCCTGCTGCTGACAGATTAATTACAGCCAATTATTTCAAAAGTGTTCTCATACTAATTAGTCATACAGTTACACAGTGCTAATAGCTCAGGGATCAAAGAAAACAAATGACTATCATACATCATTTCAATTAACCAGCAAGATGGATTAATTAACACTCTGTCATTTTAATGCCCTGGGTGGTTGGATATGATGAGAGATGATCAGAGGAGTTTCACTTCAGCAATGGGGTTGAAGCCAAGGGCATCCAAGTGTTTTGTAAACAGTTCAAAATATGAAGGGCATAAAACTGCACCCACTGGCAGAGATATAAGACACACTATTACAATAATATTACTAATGTAGCATAATTATTGTTATTATTACGTTTGTGCTTATTTTCTCATTCCCTGATGCATTCATATACATTTATTTTATTCATTTTACCAAGAGTTAAAGTAATTTTTTAAGACTGCTAAAAAGGTTTACCATGCCACAGGAAGTATAATACACTTTCATTGAGCGGGTATCCTCACAAAGCTGTGCAAACTGCTTCAAAAATGATGGGCCAGGAGCTACCATCCCTTACTGAATTCTAAACTACTAAGTTACAGAAAACAGGATAAAAGCTTATACAAAACTCTTCTCACCCTAATTATCTCTTGACCTTTTATCTTCTTTTAAAAGACTGAAAGACTAGGACTACTGTAGGACAACTAGGTTACTTACTAACTTTCTCATTTGCTGATTGTTCTGTTAAAGCTAAAGTCACCTTTGTGCTGTTATCTTTCTCTGTAAGACACTGTAGTTCTGTGTATACATTACATTGTACAGTTGTTGATCTGTTGTGCAGTTAGCATTGCAAAATGAAAACTTTTTTTGCACAGTTTTTATATTTATTATTTTATGTTTTTACCTTTTGTTGTACGTTACATTATAGTTCTTGTATTGATGTCCTCAGCTTTTTGCTCGGTTTTTGATTTTGTGTGAACTGAATTTTAAAAAAATCTTGTTAACAAACTGCATTCTTCTTCTCCAGGTGAAGTAAAAGTTGTATTAAAGTCCCTGACGCTGTATTTTACTTATAGTTGCTTCACTTGTTCTGACTGTACAAAACACTATTTTTATATTCATCTGCTGAAGGTGGGAAGTTTCTCTGCTCACCTTAAATCTGGGATTAAAATGTAAATACACAAGGAGGATTTATGACATCACATTTCACATGAGGTTTTTCATTAAAATATGAGTAATAGATGTAATTTTAAGAAGCTTTAACTAGCTTAATAATTAAATTTAAGGTTTTTGGATGTGACAGGACATTTCTTAACAATAATAAACATGCAGTTCAGGTTGTGCAGTGGTCAGGGTTTGGTCTTGTTTTGGGTATAGATAGGTTCTTCCTCAAGGTTAGAAGACCTTTGGCATCCTGGCTACAATAAACACACAAATAGTAAATACCCAGTTTGTGCAATGGTCAACTACAGAGAAGACAGTCTCCTTAAAACATGACTTTAGGCAATCTTTGGCATCATACATCTGCCCCAGTGGTGAAGTCAGGCATTAGTGGCATATGAGGGTCCAGTATTCATTCTGATGTGGCACAGAAACTACAGTCCTGCTCAGTCCTTTCTGCATAATGAAAATAAGCCCCTGATAGTTTGTGGATGTTCTGACAATATGAGAAATACAGCACACTGTATTATTATTATTATTATTCATTAAAAATATTATTAGCTCCTTTCCATATTTTTGTAGCTTGCACCTGAATCTTTGCTCTTTGCAGTTTGGTTTTTCTGTTCTCTTACTGTCATCTAACAGATATTAGCATCACAGTTTACAGACATCTGGCAGGCTTTAAAAAAAAAATAATTAAAAGCACTCATTGTTCATCTACTTTATTTCAACAACATTTTGGGTTAGAATTCAGACAAAAGTTAATTTCAGTGAACCAGATATGCTAACTGTTGCTGCTACACCTGTTGCATTAAGATTCACTGTGCTTTATGAAATTCCTGCTATTTTGCTGCAAAAAAAAAAAAACACTTGGACACCCACAACAGCCAATGAAATTTTTTTTAAATCCTGCCAGATGTTGAGGGCTAACTTGCACTAGCCTCCTCGTTTCTTTACTTCCAACTCACCTCCAGCTTGTGCTGCAAGATGTGTAAGCTGTGTTGATTTTTTCTTCTCTGCCAAGATTTCATCCACAATTGTTTTCTATTTTTTTTCTCCATGGCTATTTAATGAGATGCCCCTGTGGGTTGTACAAGAGGAAATGACAAATGACCATATGGGTGGTATAGGTTGGACCTGCTGAAGCTTTCAATTGTATAAAAAGTGGCTGTTGTCTCTAGTGTTACATTCTGCACTTTTAAAAAGCATACCCCTAAATGTGGTGCTATGCGGTGTGGCCAGGCCCACCGCAGGCCACCCCCCAGCTCAACCACTAAGCTGCTCTCATGTCCAATTGACCGATATTCTCATTAGTGCTTTTTTAACCAAAACAGCAGAAACAGAATTAGTGTGTCCATGACAGCGTGACCAACTCTTTGAGTGAGGTCCTCAATCAGTTTCTGCAGTTGAACGTTCATCATCAGAAGACAGCACACAGGCCTTGCTGACTCAGACTGTCAGTCAGCCTGCCTGCTGGATTTGTCTGTTTCTTTCTAATGAAACCACAAATTGCCAGATGTTTCCTAATTTTTCAGATATGTCTATATTTCGTCCAAACTTAACGGCTCATACAGAGGATTGAATTTAGCTTTAATCTTTAATCTTTACTGCTGCACTGGAACCCCTGGGAAGCTACATCTCTCATTTCACCTCCTCTCATGTCTTGTTGACCTGTAGCGATTAGACAATATATCTACATTGTTGACCTTACTAATGAAAGTTTGACATTGATTTCTAAATAGGCTTTTGTGGTGTTTTACTGTAGAGACTGACGTGTTTAGCCCTCATTCAGTGTTGGAAGCTGCAGGCAACAGTTTTCCACTGGCTAATCCAACTCAATATGGCAGACACACTCACTCTTCATTTAAACAAACAAAAGCAGCACATAATGATCAGCCCTGCCATTATGGCCGATTGATTTGATCTGGTCCAGGGCTCTGTGGATTTATTTTCTTTTATGGCCATATAGATGCGCACCACAGCCTCAATATGCATCACAAGTGTGTGCGCATGTGTATGTCAGTCCCTATCCAAACAAATGGAGGCGGTTTGGGCCAAAGAGCCTGGAGCACTGCTTGTCCTTTAATTTCCATTTACATACTGGCAGAATCATTAATTTCCCTAATATTTCCAATTCCCCTATTATTTGTCACCCTCCATCCCCCACCCACCCCTCTGATACTTGTGTCAGTGTGAGGCCCTGTCAGTGACATCAGACTACAGGATGTTCCATAGACGGGTCATCATTTCCCTTAATAAGACGTGTTTACCTTGTTTCTGTTTTCCATTAATGTTTATTTTGGTGAATAATATGTGTTGTATGTATTGTTACAGTAAGTAAGAATGGTAAAACTGATCACTAATCAGTGATCAAAACAGAACACACAACCACCACTGCACAAAAAGGTGATTTAAATATATTTACTGTGGGTTACATGGAATACATTTCATTTATTTCTGAAATTTTAGAGAAGCCAGTACAGTATATGCACAATTTTTTAATAGTTTTAAGCACACTGTAAACATGTTAGTAATTGTGTGATTAGTGTTGCAGCAAGTTCATGTTAAGATCCAGGAATCATGATCCTGGGATCTGGTAAATCAGACATACTGAGTTTGAGAGAAAACTCATGGCTACTTTAAGTAAGGCAAACGTAAGTAGGAAACTTTCTAGTTGTAAAGTCATAAACATAAATGACCAGTCATCAAGTGTCATATGGAGACAACCTCTGTTATATACTTCTATTTTTTTATTCTTAAAAAGGCTAAAGGATATAATGCAGTAATTTTCTGAATAGTTGTACCATCTTGATATCCCTTGGAGTTATGTACATATTGAACAATTCTGCAGTCCACAACCAGCGGCATGGTGATGCAGTGGTCAGCAATGCCACCTCACAGCAACAAGGCTCTAGGTTCAAGCCCTGGCCAACCAGTTGCCTTTCTATGTGAGTTTGCATGTTCTCCCCGTGCCTGCATGGGTTCTCTCTGGGTACTATAGCTTCCTCCCACAGTCCAAAGACATGCAGCTTAGGTTGATTGGAGAGTCTAAACTACCCATAGGAGGGGGCATGGGTGTGTGTGGTTGTCTGTCTCTAAGTGTCAGCCCTGTGATAGACTGGCGACCTGTCCAGGGTGGACCTTGCCTCTCGCCCAGTGTCAGTTGGGATTGGCTACAGCTCCCCCATGACTCTCGTTAGGATAAGCAGTATAGATAATAGATGAAGTCCATGGTGGACTTTTACGCACTGTACAATTAATTTGCTTTTTATTGACTACAAACACAACATTTCCTTAACCCTAAGTGTTTTAGTTGCCTAACCATAACCATTCCTTACATAATCACCCCATTGTAATTTTTACAATAAACTGTCCTAAACAAATCTAATGCAACAAGACCTGGTCAACATATGGCACACAGTGTTAAGCTAAACCATTGTTACCAGGTTGTTCGGACCACGACAACTGTCTAGTGTTACTATATATGTAGAATAATGACAAATACTGATGCCCTAGTTACAGTGGTCATTATAAAAACACTGTCAAGTAATGCCAAACTACTTTATCCTCATTATACAGTATAGGGAACAGTGCAATCTATATTAGCCTGAATGTTGGCACTAGATGTAAATCATGGGTATATTTCATTACTGGGCTGCAAATAGAGGTGAATAGAGTGCTGTAGGGATGACAAATTTTTGTAGGCCAGTCCAGAAGTTAGCATCAACCTGGTTCCCTTGACAAAAAGCCAATGGGATTTTTCCACAAGGTTATGGATTATTGCAGAAAATAAGCTCTGTGACAAGCAACAGTTTATGACACTTACATGTGTGGTTCAGCAAGATAATCTTCACAAGTGATCATCACTTTTATAATTTTTCAAGCCCAAATACGTTCACAGCACGGCTTTCAACTTCTAGAAAATCTTTTCTTCTTAGCGTGACCTGATCTAGCTAGTGAGCATGGCTGTGTCAGTTAGAATAGTTTGCAAGTGTGCAAGTTTAAAAATAGCTAGGCTGTAAAGGTAGGCTAGTGAGTAGCTGAGTCTCGGTGATGGCGTTTAACATCCCTCTGTAGTTTCATTTAGCCACTTGTTGGCAACCACCTTTTTTTAAGACACTCAAAAGCAAAAAAATCACAAGTCGGCTATTTACCGTTGTATTTTATGTCATAGAACAAAACATGTATTGTACTTGTGGTAACCACAGACCTTATTTCAAGCAGCTAACCAAAAAAAAAAAAAACTCGTTCAAAAAACCATTGAACTGTACCACAAGGAAACAAGAACTGAAAAAAATGTTGCCTCAGTTTTGAGTTTTAGGACTCACTACTATGGTACTCTATTAGGTGAGTAGAAAATTAGCAACATTGCTCTAATGATAAAAGACAGGGTTGTTAAATGGCAGGCAGCAGGGATAGCTGCAGATTGCTGGCACATATCTGTAATGAGATAAAGTAAATATACAATATGCTACTGTATTTTGCAAAAAGGTACTGGAGAGCCCTGCAGTAAAGGGTTATAAAACACAAGAGCATAAACATACCAAGATAATTACAAAGGACTCAGTGCAACATCTGCCTGAGCTTAAATTTCATGTTCACTGGTTATAATTGCATTCTGGCAATGAGGAGATACATCAAAATGCTTTTTGTTTATGATTAAGCTGGGGCCACTGAAATGAATTCCATCACTTAACTTTCTGTCAAAGGGGATTATAGAGCTTCATAATGCAGCCTGTGAAATATCAATACTACAGGATGGGTCCATTTTTGCACACTGCTCTTTTGTTTGGTTGTAAATGAACTGCATCAATTTCAATGACCACAGAAACCATATAACAATGGACACACTGGATGAGATCCATGAAGCAAAAATATACTCTTGGGGCATAAAAACAGAGAATGCAACAGGCACTGAAAAAAAAAACTAATTCATGTCTTTGGTGATTAAACAATGCAATTCAACAAAATGATGCATTTTGCACATTTTAACTAAATCCAAAGCATTAGTTTTGCAAGCAGAATTTCTACAGTGACTGTGACCTTCCTGTATAGATTTTACTAAGCCAGGTAAGTGCTTTGCATGTAGACATTTTGTATTGGACCTGTCGCTGGCATCAGAAGCCCAGTAGCTGCAATTACTTGCTGATCATCGCCACAAGCCAGATAATAATTAGAGGTTGACAAAATTCAGGGCCAGGTTGGAGAGCTATTGATTTCCCCATGTTCCTTCTTGGGAAGGATCAAGAAAATAAGACATGGAATTTACTGTCTTCATAAAAGTTTTAGTAAATCAGGCCTTTTTAACGGGCAATCGACAGTTTTTTTCATTACCATACATAGTGTTCTCTAAAGCGTTTTTGATTATTAGCAATAAGCTCTCTCCTTTGTGTCTTTCATGCACCAATAAATAACGGCTCCTTTGGAATATTTGGAGGTAATTTTAATCACCCGGTAGCACATATAACCCCAGTGAGGTTATAACAGGATTACCTTCCAATTTTGCATTGACAAAAGCTGCCTTAAGCTTTCAGCTGAGAAATGCACATATGAAGGTGTGCAGAAAGCAAAAACCAATACACAGACCCACTGCTAAAAGAAAAAAACACACAGAGCATGTGACTATGCTCTGTAACCTTTTGCTCTAACAACATCAGGAACATCAGTTTCAGGTGTTCCAGATGGCTACAATAGTTATTCAAAGAATTTATCCATGGGTAAGGTTTGAATGAGAGAATTAGAATTGACAGAGACATGAAGAGCCAGCTGACACAATACACTAATGTTCTGTATGCATGGAGGCAAAGTCAAAAGGAGTTGGATTTGAGTTGACGCACATCCTAGAGGTGTGCAGACTGAAGCCCGGGGGGTCATTTCCCTTCCTCGATGGACAGACTATTAACTTTTTGATTGGCAGTGGAGTTGATGTTGCCTGTTCATCATTGAGCCCTGTCGATTTCTCAGCATCTGGAAACAGCACATAAATTCAAAGGCCCGAGTATGAACAGTGCGTCTCAGCATCCTCTGAAAGAGCTGCATCACATAGCCATGAAGAAAAACAGCAGCATTTCACT